TGACCGGTTGTAAAGTACGTGTGGCTGTCGGTAAAGTTGGTCTGGTAAAAATAACGGAGCTGCTACTTCAGAGAAGACAAAAGCGGCTATCAGACTATTCCTTTACTGTTTTGTCTAGCAAGTCTTGTTAATGCTCGTTACTGGATGTTCTCTGATACTGTGTGTATGGCTCAAAGGTCCTGTGAGGTTTTGGTGCATGTTCTTCTGATAGTGTGTGGTAGGTGGGCATCCTGATTTACCTGTAACATCTTACCAGTGAGCTTGATTCACACCAGCATTTAGCTTACTGCAGTCAAACCCCTTGCTAAAAATTTTTTAAGCGATAGAGTCCTTGGGCAACTTCTTGAGCTTCTTAAAATGTTTATCTTGGGTAAATAAAAAAAAATACATTCATGTGGTGCTGGGAGGTATTGCTTAGTGATCTTGTTTAAGTGGTTAATTTTTCATAATGCTTTTCATTTAATTGTTTTGATTCTTGCAGTTGATTCTTTGGGGGCTCATCTCGAAGTACAATGTAAAAAAGCTTTCAAATAGTGGAAGAAAATGTCACTTAAAAACTCTAAGGAAATGAGGAAAGTAAACATTTCTAGCTCTTTGGAATCTGAAGATATTAGCTTAGAAACCATAATACCAACTGATGATATTTCTTCCTCTGAAGAGAGAGAAGGTACTGTTAAAATCACTAAGCAGCTGATTGAACGGAAAGAGTTGCTCCATAATCTTCAGCTGCTTAAAATAGAATTATCTCAGAAAAACTTGATGATTGACAACTTGAAAGTAGAATATCTGACCAAGGTAAGAAATGTTGTTCCTTTCATGTATAATCTTTTCTTGTTTCTGGTGCTTTTAGGGTATGATAGAAACTTATGTTCTGCCCAAAATTTCTATGAATTGCATGCTGAAAGCCTACTTAGTTGCTTCTGGAAAGGTTTTTTGGTGTTTCTTTGTTTGTTGGGTTGGTTTGATGAGAAAAGAAGGAAACAAAGATATGGAAAACTTACCTGACTTGAACAAGTAATTATACTCTCAAATGAATGACGTGGGATTGAATTAGTTTTTCCTTTTCTAAAAACAAAGGAGAAAAACCTATTTCCTTTCAGAAATGAAGAATATTATTGTCACTGATAAAAGCAGCTTAATAGGGCTTTTAACTTTGGAATACTAGAAGAAGTAATCTTAATACTATTCAATGATCTGTTGATGAGGACGTGGCTAGAATATACCAGCATGCTAATAGGAGGGGATTTTATTGCGTACAGTTCCCACTACGATGCATGAAACTAAGGAAGGTTGTTAAAGCTTTGTCACATCTGTGTGCAGTCCACATTTACAGCCTACTATATACTAATTGTGGCTTTCACAGGCTTGCTGATCTTTGTTTAAGCGTGATTTGAAATTAGTTGAACAAGTAGCTATTTGGCTGAAAACAATTAGGTTTAGAACTAGGTCTTTTTAACTTTTAGTTCATTAGGGCAAAATCCGTAACGTATTTTATGATATTTATAATTTGGCATATTTAGAAGTCTTGTTAAACAATCATTATCGCATTTCCCAGGGCATTGGCTCTCCTTTTTATACAGTTTTTTTAATTACCAAGGTAAATTCTGGTCTTGCTTTTATACTTATATTCTTTCTATTTAGATTGAAGAGCTAGAAGAGAAGCTTAATGATGCAGTACATCAAAAGCAGCTGTTGTCTTTACGACTGGATAGTCAGCTGGCATTACAGCAAGAAGATGCCAGGTACGATGGGAGTAAAACTAAGAACTTCATCCTTAATAATTTATTAATATGAATTAAAATTAATTCATAGTCAGTTAATGGAAACTGATGATTATGAATTGCAGGAATAGCATTTCTTTTGCATTCTAAAAGTGGAATTTATGTGTTTAATTTACATATACATACATTTGAATTCAGCTTTCACTTGCTGAAGTTTTATTGTTACCTGGATTCAAAACTGAATAGGAACTGGGAGTAAGAACATTCTTAAAACTAGTAAAGAGTAAAAGGAGTAGGTAGAGGTGGCAGATTTTGAGTCAAATCAAACAGAATTTTGAGTAACTCTTCAGCCTTAGTGACTTGGGAAAGGTAAGGGGATAACGTTTAGCACTCCAAGTTAGGATTGCTTATTGGTCAGAAATGCTTTCAGTTGATGATGTAGAAACTTACTTTTCATCTTGCTTTTCTGAAACATTTTGAGTTTCAGAAAACAGTTGAAAATAGACTCTTGTCTTTTTGAAACCAGTGGGACAGACATTGCCTTGTAGTACTAGCTAGTATTTTTAATATTACTTTTTAAATAATGTAGGAATTGGCACAATTTGTTTTGAAGAATGATTTAATTTGACTATATCTTCAAGAGTCATGGCTAAAACCTCTTAAAAAGTAGGTCAGTTACATTTGATTTAAATAAAATGAATACTTTGAAACATCTTGAAGTGATGCACATTTTCTCTTGTTGCATAATACCTTAATCTCTGGTGATAATAGTAATGGTAGTATTTTAAGGCTGGCAGTAAGGCTGCTTGTTTAAGCATAGTGGTCTTTGTGGTGTGTAATTTGTTTTTTTGTGGGTTTGGGTTTTTTTGGGTTTTTTTTGTGTTTTCTTAAATGGACCTCAATTTTGTATTTTACACTGGGTAGGAAAATGAAGGGTTGTGTGTGGAATAGGCCATAAGCATGTATATACTGAAACTTGATAAGACACAAATTGAAGTTACTGTTACTTTGTTTGGTGATTTACTAGTTCCTTGGGTTTTGAGTGGAAATACAGTCAGCTTTTTCATGCTTTTAATGTTTTGAATTTATAAATTAGTCTTAATTTACCAGTAAAAGTCAGCATATGTGGAGATTAATAGACACTTCTCAGATTCAGCCTTGTATTGTCAATGTCTATGAAGTTTCTGGCTTTTTATATATATAGTGTCTAATATGATGGTGTAATCATGCTGGTATACACTCTTGTGCTAATTACCTAATCTCTGTAAATTTTCCCTGCTACAAGGAGCATAACTGGCTGCCTTGCCAGGGTATTGTGAAGGTTTGTCACTTGTGTTACTTGCTACTTATTGTCTTCTGTTTTCAAATCAATCTTAAAGAAAACATCAGGCTCTAATGAAACAAGAAATGGAAACTATTTTATTGAGACAGAAGCAACTGGAGGAAACAAATCATCAGTTAAGGGAGAGGGCTGGAGATATCCGTCGTAGCTTGCGAGACTTGGAATTAACAGATGATTGCTATAAGCAGCTAAAGTCTCTTCCTGAAGATCAGCTTTCTATCCCTGAATATGTTTCTGTGAGTATTGAGTTTTGTACTGGTTTAAAATATAGCTGTATCCTCAGTTTGCCGAGGATGAAGTTAACTTTCTTCATAGCAGCCTAAATCTTCTTGTGCTTGGCTAAAACAGCGTTGGCAACACACCAATGTTACGGCTATTGCTGGACAGTGCTTGCACAGCATCAAGGCTTATTTTTCTCCCCCTGTGCCCAGCAAGTGAGGGGTAGTCACGAGATTCAGAAGGGGACACAGCTGAACAGCTGGCCTGAATCAGGCAAAGGAATATTCCGTACCATCTAACATCATGCTCAGCAATATAAACTGGAAGTAGAGGAAGAAAGATGAAGTGGGGGGCGGCTTCCAAGGTGGTTATTGCTCAGAGGCTGGCTGGGCATGTGTCTCCTTGCAAGACGTGGTGAATGATTGTATTTGCATGGCCACTGGAATAATCTCCTCAGGGAAGTGGTGGGCTCCCCAGTGTTGGACGCTTAAGGTTAGGCTGGACAGAGTGCTCAGGCATCTAGTCTAGGTTATGCTTTGCTAAGAAAGTTTGGACCACATGATCCTTGAGGTCTCTTCCAACCAGTATTCTATGATTTTCTGTCTTTCCTTTACTAATTAAACTGTTCAGAAAACTTGACACCTCAATTTCCTTGCTTTTGTTGTTCACATTCCTCTGTCCTGCTCCCACTGGAGGCAGCCAATATGGGTGTTTGGCTGCTGGCCAGGGTTAACCCACCACAAGCTATAAATTGCTTTTGTTTAGAATTACAGATATCTGCACATAGTAGAAGCCAGTCTGTACTCCTAGAATTCTTACTCTTCCCCAATTAGAAATGAAGGAACTTCAGGGGCAGATGTGCTTTTGGATCTGTCTGTTAAAACAGGATTCCAGTAAAGAGGGGAACCTTTTAATTCCAGGCTCTGAAGTTTTGAAGGGAGTAGAACTGCTGATATATTTTAAGCAGGTTAAGCAGATGGGATGTTACAATTAAATGATGGGTATGCGTTGATGATCTGAAATACAGGAGGCTGAAAACAGGAATTTGAAACTCAGCTTGCCAGAACCACAAGTCAAGGTGGTTCTTGCAAACATCTCTTACCTTTCCCTCATGCTTTCCATCTGGCCCTTTCCTGTCTAACTAAATGCAGGAGATAAAGTGTACCTTAAAGAGTACTGTAAGACTCATTTTCTTAAGAAGTTTGTTAATTGTGGCTTTTGGGTAGATAGAGGGGCAGGAGGGTTTCTGCTTGCAATAAAAAGACAATGCCTTCACAGACTGTGGGACATGTCCAGAGCATCTTGGCTCACTTCTGGGAATGAAGAGGATTTGGACATATAAACCTTAATCCACCAAAGTGTTAGCATTTTACTTACTTATAGAGCTAGTTATTAAAAAAACCTTAAATAATACTGTGTTAAAAAGCTTAGTGCATTTGTTGAGGTATAAATGCTACATGAATGATTTCTTTTCCTGGATGAAAGTCATGGTATACTGTGCTTTAAATATGTACAGAGATGTATAACTTGTCGTTCTTATCTAAAGGATGTTCTTGGAAACATCTTCTCAAGTTCTAAATCTTGGACTTTTGAAAGTACTGCGAAAACTTTAAGGCTCTGTATGAATAACAAGATCACTTAGCTAGAGCCTCTTAGGCCATTACCCTCTAGCTGCTTACTCTACCCTGCCCTCTGCGGAAGTATTTGAGGGGTTTTGTTGATTTCTGCACCACCATGGTTGAAAAAGCAAATTTTTAACACAAACTGAAGTCTGTGTCAGTTTGCTTGAAATTGGTGTGCAGGAAGCTACAGGACGTCGGGAGTTGATTGGCAGTTAGTACAAAAGAATATGTAGCTGGGCAGGACAGATACCGGGAGTTAGTAACTGTGCCAGCTACTTTAAGTGAAAGTATCACAGCACAGTTAGAGTGCTTAGATTGTGCTTGTGAATAGAAAGGGGCTCTGAAAAGGATGTGAAGCGGGAGAGGTAACAGCTACCTTCTACCTCTAATCTACCTTTCTTTTCCTTTTGCATTCAACCAGTAAATTCTACTTTTGTCTGTGACAGAAACTCCACTACTTGTTCAGTGAAGCCCCTTTCCTCTTTACACATATGTCACTTTCTTTGGAAAGGACTGAAGAAATTTGAGCTTGCTTTGGTCAAATTTATTTTATTTTATTTTTTCGCTTGAGAAAACATTTTAACAAAGACATAAACAGCATCTTGCTGTAGTAAGATGCTGTTTTCTGCTTCTTCTCCCAACTTATTTTGGCAAAAGGATCAGTGTGAACATGAGCGTATCGGTTAAGCTTAGTGATTGTTTATCATTACTTTGAGTTGTTCAGCTGATACAGATGCTGAGAAGCTACAGAACAGTTTTGTATATTCTGTATATGCATCCATTTGGCTTTAGAAAGCTAGTAAAAGGATATTGAAGGGAAAAAGTAATTTTTCTGATGCTATTTTCGCAGGCAGGTAAAATCTCTGACTCCAGATCTATGGGCAGGCTAACAATATAGTCTGCTGATACTAGAATAAAATTCTCCTTGGTGAGAAAGAGTTTTGCTTAGAAAAGAGTTGAGCAAGAAATTTCCAGACTTTTTTCTGTTTATCAATTATACAATACTGCTTTACAATTCTCCAGGATAGAAGCAAATGTGTATATAATGCTTATACTTTATTTGAAACCTGCTATACTGGACAAACAGCAGGAAGTGCTTAAATACAGATTTTGTATATAGAGATACTACAGCATAGACAAACAGGACATGGAATTAAAACAAATGAGATGTTTTTCACTGTTCTTCCACAAAGGGGTGCAATAGTGACATGATAGAGCAAAGACTAGGCAATTGTTTAATGTTAATCATAGAATGATTTGGGTTGGAAGAGACCTTAAAGATCATTTAGTTCAAATAGTGATGATAAAAGAAAAATGATGTTTTAAGCATCTTTCTCTTAACAACCACACTTTTTTTAACATGTACGTAAAAATTTAGTTTTTTTACCATTTATAAGAATGAGTTTTTAGAAACAGTATGTTCAAAATTTTAAAGCACTTCAGGTCATTGAACTGATGCTTGGCAGTTGAATCACTTAATTTGCTTAGTAAAGTGAGCCTTTTGTACTCCTAAAGTTTTTTCACCAAGTTGTTTAAAAATGGCACCTGTGAATTCTGTTTGATCCAATTTCAATCGCTGTGTCTTTCAGTGGCCTCATTTTACTAACTACAGCTCTATTTGCCCTTTGTTTAAGAAGGCGGTTAACTGATGCAACTACTTTCACATGACTTCATTTAACAGAAGCCAACTTCCTCATCCTCTGCGCCACCCATTTTTAGCTCAAGTCTAGTTTTCCATAAAAAGTGGTGGGCACATGCTAACAGGTTTTTTAAAAATTGCGTAGAAAGCGGTAACCTTTTCCCTACAGCACATGAATATAAATTTGTATTTTTTAAGATATGTGGTTGTTTCTGAAATACCATTAATCTTTGTTGCTGCTATGTTAACTTGACAAGAGGTAATGTGTGTGTTTTGACTGCTGAGTTAAATGAATGTTTATTTAGCATCAGGCAAGTTAAATAACAGTTGAACTTCTGCTACAACCTTCCCCTCATCTCTGCATTCCTTTGCACTTTCTTATTACCATGGATTGATTTTTTTCTCAGGAAGGCTTTGCAGATACACCTATCTTGATACCTATATCCCGTGACATGCCGGTTTGATACTGGGTAATCTGTTTTAAGGTTGTTGCAGTTTGGGAAGTAAATGTGGCATGATGGCATAAGTTAGGTTTCCTAGGGAAATCACAATAAAAAGACAAGAACTTAAGGGAAAAAGGGAAAAAGTATGTGTGGTTTAAAAAACCCACAATGTTTTAAATAGTTACCAATTAATGACAATCAAGGTTATTTTTAAAGAAAAAAAAAAAGTAATATTTTTGAGGGAGGGAAGAGGATTTGATTAAAATTCAATTGCTTGGTTTCAGATGGAATCAGACAAGTTCTTAAAGAGTCCACAGTTTTCGTCCACACAGATGAAAACTGTTGTCAGTGGAAGCTGTAGATAAGAGACAAAAAATTACTGCTTTGAAGTAGCTGAAGCCTGTTGTAGTAGTTAGGAAGTTAGAAAGAAGCCACAAAACTAACTTCGCTGTTTGTTTTCATGCAAGCCCATTAGAAGCAATGGGATTTCAGAGATGGATATGAAAAAACTCCTTAAATATTGGAGTAATGCAAGAAAAAAATAGTAATGAAGCAGTAAAAGTGGTAATATGCACTTAGCTCACTTTTCAGATTAGAAAATTTCTGTTTTCTTCCCAATTTCTAGTTTTAGCTGCTGTAGCATCTGATAGTTCAGCTTGTCATTCGGAATTTTCCGAACATGGACAAAAAAGTGATCATGCCTTGTTTTGGTTTCCAATGAATTGTAGTTTTAAAAAGCTTCTTTAATTTTCTTCATTTGGTGTGAAAGCTTAGACATAATAAATTGAAAATCCCTTGTTACCATCTTAAAAATAACAGCTATGTTTTGGGGAAGCTTTAATTTTTTCAATAAGAAGTTACTTCAAATTTATAGCATATGTCTTATTTTAGCTTATGTTTGGTTTGCATCTAAAGGTAAGGATGAAGAGTGGAGCTCTCTTGTTTAGTACAACAAATTCAAGCAACTGCAACTTTCAACAAGCACAGTATTTGGAAAAACTTGGAAACAAAAAAAAAACCAAAACATACCACTTTTTAGAGAATTTCACTATTAGTCTTCCAGTCATGTTGCACACTTTCTTTGTTGTCTAAAGCAAACTACACCTATCTTTACATCACAAATCTCCATGGCGTCTGTGTTTTTTAGAATTATATGCTGTCAATTATATGGAATATACCTGAAACTTTTCTTTGTCTTCTACTGTTTACAGGTAGTAAAACAGATTTGTCTTCTGCATGGAAGTGTAGTACAGCTTGTTCTTGAATACTTAACTTTATCTGTGCTTTCTTGCTGGTATTTCTTCTTTAATCGTATATCAAACAAAGCATTAATGATAGGGGGTTATGGAGAAGCTTTTGCATGAAAATAGTGCTTAATTATCTATTCTTTTTATCCCCCAAACAAACATTATAAGGTATCAAGTTAATCTAGGAGTAATAACATCTGTGTACATGTGTGTGGGTGTATATCAAAAAAAGCTCTTTCTTCTCTGTCTCTTTTGTCTTTCTGTTTTGGGGGGTTGGGTTTGTTTTTTACTGCAGGCTGTATGGTTTTACTACTGTGTTTTTCTAGTATTTTTTCTTGTTCAGTAGAAACGTTCTGGAAAAGTTCTGTGGATCTGAGACGTGTCTGAGACTATGCCTGTGAGTGGAGTGAAGGAATAGAGACGAGTATCTGTTATGGGACTTTTTTTTTTTTTTTTTTTTTTAAATCCTTTTACACGTCTTTCTCCCCTCCCCCCCCCGTGTTATTTTAGCAAAGCCGAGTTTTTCAGAGGCATAGTTGCACGGTGCAGCTGAACCCATACAGCAGCCTGTCACTGCTGAGAGTGTGTGTATGTGTGTGTGGGGGGGGTGTGGTTTTTCTTCGTAGTGGGCTGTTCCAGCTTCCTCTGCTTGCTCTTGCATTTTGATGTGGAATCAGCACACTGAACTGGCAGAAAACAAAACTAATCTCTCTCCCTTTCTACACACCCCATAAAAATTTATATTGGCTTGGGAGAAGTTAGCAAGTTAAGTTGGTTTATTGCTAAATAGGCTTGCATAGGTTTTATTTCTTTTTTTTTTTTTCCCTTTTTACAGAGTTAATCAAATAGGCCCTAAGGTTGGCACAAATAAGAGGGTGGGAACATGTGGTTCATTAGCAGCTCTGTTTTTTAATCGGGCAGCCTAACTGAGGGCTGCCTGAGTTGGACAGACAAGGATATCTTTACCTTTATTCCTCCTTTTCTATTTAGTGCCAAACACAAACTGATTATTTCTTTGCTGCTGCTGTCAATGTCTTAAAGAAAGACACTGTCTTTGCTTTAACATTTCCCCAGCCCCAACCAGGTTCCTCATTTGCATTAGAAATCATTTGGTGAATTATTGCCATAAAATGTTAGGGTGGGGTTTGTTTTGTTTTGTTTTTTAATTGTGGCTTTGTGATTGCAATTTTGCTAGTCTTAATTTTGAATATATATCTTGTTCTTCTAGATCAGATTCTATGAAGTAGTCCATTCCTTAAGAAAAGAGTTAAGTGATCTGCAGATGAAAAAAGAGAGCCTAACAGAAGAACTAAGTGGGTACAAATCACAACTGAAGTGTCTGACGGAGGTCTGTGCATCTTAATTATTTCAATTAAGAAACTGTGTAAACATGTATATTGCAAAAACCTCATTCTCCAAATCATTATTGATATTTAAGATAGAAAAGATTTTTTTGCTGTATAAAAACTAGTGGGGGTAGGAGGGCTGAGGTGGGAGAGAAAGGAGAAGCATGCTATAGATGTCCTTGCATAACACGCTTAAAGCACGACACAGCTAATTTTGTGTTACAGCTACCCTATAAGATTTGCTCATGATAATGTTAAGGATAGACTTTTACCAGCTGTGTTGTGCTTTCTGAGGGCAAGGTTCAAGTCAGGGAAGCTGAGGCAGGAGATCCACCCAGCAGTAGATCGAGAGTGGTGGTTCAGTGTATAGTTTTCGAGATGGTGATGTCTTAGGAGTAATTTGCTTCACCTTTAATTTTAGATAATATAAAAATGCATTTTTAAAGAGTTCTTTGGACTTGGATCTTCTCTTCTGCTTTTCAACTTGTTATATATTTGAATTTCCTATTTATTTCTATAGTAAATAATAAGATAATTTCAGGTAAGGTATAAATGCCAGAAGCAGAGAAACAAATTATCTAAATATATTTATTTTTTATTTTCAAAGAGCAAAGGAGTTGAAACAGTATATGAAGAATATAATTTTTAAGGTATTTATGAATAATTATAGAATTCTTAGTATATATACAGCTAGGAAGATTTGTATTTTAGCTTAGTTCTGCATAAATCTGGAGTTTCGGGTACCTGGTGTGTATTTATCCAAGTCATGGCTAGCAGGGACTTGAAAGCCCCTGTCAGTTTACTACTTCTGACCTTATTCTTTAGTTACCACTTTTTTTCTTCAGAATTTACTTGTGGAATAATCAGCTGTAAAGAGATATTAATTATACAGGATTATCTTTGTGAAATTAATATTATTTTCATTTCTCTTTTTAATTGAATTAAAAGTAGTCAATAAAATTTGTGCATTTATGTGCTTCAGCATTATTTTGTGTTGTCATCTCTAGCCATAATTAAGATTAAATTAATCCTGTTAACTGATTTACCTGAGCATTTTCCTTCATTGTACATTTAATGTGCTTTGATTGAATAGAATTCTACAGGAGGATTTCAGGTTTCTGAGATTTGATTGACATCTGTGTTAATTTTTGATACAGCAGCTTAACAGGATAGTAGATAACAATAATTAAAGTTTTGCTAGAAACAATTTTCTTGGTACATTGACCTTTCTTTAATATAGAAACTTATAATTTTGTTCTTTTTATACCACATGGTGGCAGTATCCACCTTTCCTTCTGTTATTATTTTTCAAATTTTGAAGTTTACTATGCTTTTGGTGCTGATGAGAAAGCACTAGAATGTTGACTGTGTTGAGCTGAGGTGGTTCTTTGAATACTTATTCCCTGTTTCCATAATCATGCTTAAAATGAGAGACAATTAGGAGGAAGAAGCAATACCTCATTTAAAAGGGAAAAAAGGAAAAACCCAAACCAAGCAAAACCAATCAGGGAAGAGATCCAGGTGTTGAAATGTCGCAAGTTAAAAAAAAGGGTTAACAGTTGTTAATAACAATTACTCCTTAGGATTCTTAGGTTTCGGGTAAGTTCACTTGCTACAGTTTTTCCATATGTACACTTCCCCAAACCCAAGCCTTCACCATATCCATGATGCAGAGGTGATGTGTATGTGACCTGAGATGAGGTATTTTATATACAGAGGGACTTAGAAGTTTTGCTTCTGGCAAGTTCAAATTTGACCTAGGGACTTCATGAGTGTCAATGCAACAAAGGTACCTCAGACTGCTTCAGATAATAAGGAGCATCACCAATATGAGAGGGTACTTCAGAATCTCTAATGTACTTAGTATGCTAAAACTAATGTACATATACGTATGTCTTGCAGTTTATAAAGAAGTGGTTTCAAGGTGTACTCTCAGGGTAACTTATTTGAATTCTTTCAATAAGGTTAGGCTTTATTGCAAGGAATATATCTGTAGGAAATAAGCAGAGTTTCATTCAGAGTTTTACTTAAGCTCTTACATTCTTCTTTTACTGCTTTTGTGGTATTCCAATCATTCTTTATTACGAGATACGTGAAACACAGTTGCTGAAGCTTCTTTCCTGTTTTTAAAGAACTTACACTCTTCATATCCTTTCTCTGATTTCCCGTCCAATATTCCTTAAGTTTTCTCCAACAGTTGCAATGTTTCTGTTCTCTACATTATTTAGTAACAATGTGTCTGTTCTGGGTTTAAAACTTCTTTAGGAACCTACTAACACAGATATTTGAAATGCAGTCATCATTGAAGTTAAGAGTGTCTCTTTCTTTCTTTTTTTTCTTCCCTCTGTGAGAATAAACCACTTCCTACAATAAGTAGGAAGTTGGGGTTTTTTTCCTACTATTGCAGATAATTAATGCTATTCCTAATGAGTTTCAACATGTTTTTTTTTTTCTTCTTTGTGGAATATAGAAAGGAACTAAAAAACATACTTAGCCCAAATCTTTCTATGAACTCCTAATGGCTTGGGGCTTTTCTGGTTGTTTGTTACTGACAGACTAGGTTTGAGTAAGTTTCATATGTGTAGATATTCACCTAGAAATAAGCTAGTGAGAAATACTAGACAATTGGGTATAGACTCAGGGAAGTCTAGCCAACAAAGAACTGAAAAAGTTTGAAGGAAAGTTCAATCTTGTCTAATACGTTAAGCCAACTCTAGGAAAAATTAAACGTGAAATGAATTTATCAAATAAGACAGCCATTGCCTAGTATCAGCTATGTTATTTTGTGACAGGATGGCTGTAGTCCTTTAATTTGGTCAAAAGAAATGAGCTCTAATTTCACTGTTCTTGTTTTGGAGTATGAACGTAAGGCACATTATTTTGTTTTCTTTGCTTATGAGCCTTTATATACTGTTTTGTGAGAAAGAAAAGTATCACAGTTCTATTGTCTGGATATTATTATGATGAGCCAATATGTCTGAGTATTGGTTACATAAAGTAAGGTCTTTGAACCCACTAAATCTTTTTTTGCTACATGCTGCCTTTTTTGGGGGGGAGGGGTGAGGGGAATGCCCACCAAGAGAAAGTCATTTGTGGCATAACAGACCTCACCTGGCACAAAAATGAGTGCAGCGGGATGGCATTGTGGCCTCTCAGCCGACTGAGTTTATAAGCATCCAGCTGTATCAGCTAGAAAGCTTGGTTCTCTAAAAATTGAGTTGTCATTGTAGCCTTGTTGAAACTAAATTTCTAAGACTTGACAAATCCTCATGTTCTTATCTCTAGGCCATTCATTAATTCATTTGTAGTAGGTAAAACTGCTGACTTTAGGACATGAAAGGTATCTTTCAAATCTTTATCCACCTGTATTTGTATTCTAGGTATATGAAAATATATTTTGTTTGTTCAGAAGGGGCTGAAGGTCCTAAGTGTGTATCAGCCTCTGTCAGCACTCATTTAATTCTTAGTATCCAAGGAGTAAGACCACTAAAACTTTACAACTTGGTAACAAAGTTCTCTTGTTGATTGTCTGTTGCTGCTCTGAGTTAGCACTTAATCAAAGCCTTCTGAATCTGTAACACAGACTCAGGAGGCATGGGGAGCTGTTTCTGACAACTGGTAGCAGAGAACAGCGTGAAGACTGATTTCTAGCACTGGAACATAATCTGATAAACACAGCTAGTGTGAGAAGATCTCTGTCACCACTTTCTGTTTTTGAAGTGGTCAGTCTAAGTGGTTCTGCGGTATTACCACAGAGTTAATGGCACTCTACACACACTGATTCCATCCATGACTTAGACCAGTGCAGTTCCTCTTATTCGAGGTGCAGCAGCAACAGACTGGGGAGGAGGCGGTGGAACTGGTAAAAGCCGTGTTCTTGTACTGCAGTCCTGACTGATCTGTTACCAAATCATCGAATGGTTTGGGTTGGAAGAGATATTAATGATCATCTGGTTCCACCACCACCCCACCTCCCCCGCCATAGGAAGGGACACCTTCTACTAGACTTGTTTCAGTCCTTCTTTTACAGCACTCTGTACCTGAAGTATAAATAATGTTGGCACCAACAATTTCAGAGATACAGATAGAGGGAAGTCCAGCTGTAGTGTTGTATTACCAGGAGCTTCCCAGAAACAAAACCAGCTCCTGATGTGTGTTCCCATGCTGAACACCAGTGTGCTATTTTCAGAGTAGTTTGCTTCTAAAGTGGTTAGAACCTTCCCTCAAAAAGATGTAATTTACTGCTTGTGTGTTTCTCTCAAGACTAGGAGAGTGTCTATGAAGGAAATTCTGCTTTTCTTTGTAGGTCTAGAAGATTAAGTATTGCTTTCTTTCTTCTCTGGCTGTGAATTCCTCGGCAATGTTTTCATGGAATTCTGTCTTGATACAGTTTTATCAAGGCTTCCTTTCTTTAGTGTTTTTTTTTTTCTGTAAAGTTGATTTTAGGAGTTGCAATCAAATTTGTAGTATCACAGTTATCTAAAAGCAATGGGTAGCCTAAAGACAAAGCTGCACGTATGTAGGACAAAGATCCTTTCCAAGACCTTGTCTCTGAATCAGAATTAGTAGCTGTCAGGTTTAGCTAGGCATACCTAACAATTTTCTCTGTGATAATGTTTCCCAGCTGAAGGCAAAATATTTCTATGGTCTTCAAAGAGTGAACTAAGCGATTGCTCAAAGGATCAGTCTGACTCAAAGGATCAGTCACCACTAGATGTATCTGAATGTTATAAAATTGAGACTACCATTGCTACTCCAGAAGGACTATGTTCAGCAAGATCCTTTCTGAAGTTTGCACATCTGGAATTCAACACTGCACTTAAAAACTCTTCCCCCAGTCCCCTGACACCAGTTCTTTCAAGGAGTGCTTTGCTTACTTGGTCTTCACATCTCTCTCTAGAAAGGACAGATGAGGCCTCAGTCTGAGGTGGGATACATGCCTTCTTGCCTTCATTATTGTTAATATTTACCTTGTTCATGAAAAAAACCTGCAAAAACAAATATTCTACCAGTAACTGTTACCTTGGGGCATCAGTTTAACATTGCTAAGTCTCAAGAAAACTTATGTATCTATGAAAGCTCCTTTTCTGCCCAGTATCTTTCTACCTCTTTTGATGTATACCTATGGCTCATATAGACTGCTGGTTCTTATTCAGAAGGACCAAATGGCTTAATTCCAGTGTCTAATGCAATGATCTCAAAGATCCTTTTCACCTGAAAATATTTCACTGTAGATTCTGGACAGCTCAGACCCAGAGAGAGAAAGAGCTTTTTATATACTTTTTATATCCCACTTTCTTTGGCACTTATGCCAAAGCTTTTCTTTCCTATCTTTCTTGCAGAGCTTCTCTATTTTGGAAGTAGCTTAACATTCTGTTTATAATTTTTAGTGGCAAGGAGTGCCTTGACAGATTACCAATTTCATATCAACATACTAGAAGAGATGTCTTACCCAGTGTCCTGGCTTAAACCACGACATCCAGTTACGTATAACTTCTTCCTGATATTTGGGCAGTTGTATTCAAATAAATAATGTATTGACCAACAATTTTTGAATACGTACTGTGTAAACAGATTGAAGCTAAATGTTATCTTTACTAAGTAGCAGCACTTCACTGAAATAACTTGAGGGAATTGTTTTCATATTACAATAGTATAGTAGCTTTACATTTGCCTAGGGCCTTTAGGTACCTTAGGGTACAAACAGAAAGCACTGGCTTGTGTAAGTGATCCTTCAAAGATGAAGTTCTTTTAAATAAGATCTTTAAAAACAGGACCACTTTCTTCCACAGGCTTATCTGTAGACAGTGTGAAGAAGTCATGCTACTTCTGCTTGATTGGCTGATTAATCTTTTCCCTGCATTTCTGTTGTTTATCTTCTTATCCCCAAAGGCTTTTTGAAAGATCAGCTAATCCCTACCATGTATTATCCCACTAACTTTGTTCAGAAAGTATGTCACCCAATTTTTGTACTTGGAAGTTAGAGAGATGTTCATTCAGGTGATTTGCTATAAGCTGCTGTTCATTCCAGATGGAGGATACCATAAGACTGAGGTCTGTCCTTAGATCTTTAGTTTCTCTACCAGTTTGGTTTTTAAATAGTGTAGATCAGGCAAGCTTAGAATCTTCTTGCTCAAAACATCCATCTGTTGACAGTGTTTGTAAGCCAAATGGAAGCAATTGTTGGTAGGGACTGCCTGATGTGTTCTGCAGAAACCACCTGCACTGGTTAATACTGGGTCTCTTGGACAGTTCTGTTAACAATTTCTTTAGATGATATTTGCCTACTCATCTCACATATAACAGATTTGTTCGTTTTAACCACCTCATCTGAGTTGCTACTCTGTGGTAGCAAAAACTAATAAGAAGCTGAAGAAAAGTTACACATTGTTGGCAAGGTCATCACAGTCATGTTCCGTGTGAGGAAGTACTATTCGGCCATTTTTTTTTTTTTTAATTTTTTTTTTTTTTTACATTTGTGAGCTTGCTTAAGTTATTTTTATTTATTGGTGTTATTTCTAGGACCTCATTCATGTCCTTGAAAGTGATCTATATCTTGATCCTTTTAAAAGACCCTTTTTGCTTTTCAGGACAAAGCTGTTCATCATGACTTCCAAGCTATCTCCTGAAGATAAATTGAAAGCTAATGCTGTTCCTTTGCAGAGATCTTAAAATCAGTTCATGGCATATGGACATTGTTGTAAACTTAATTAACTTCACTACATGCAAAGCAAGGCTTATTCTTCCTAAGCACAGGCAGCTTGATTGTATGTCTTTAAGATGTATTGCTGTAGAAGTCCAGAAGCTTGTGTATCTGCTACCTGGATATATGCTTACCATATAGGTGGATTTCTGTGTTAATCTATAGGCTGTTTATGAGCTTGCCTTGTGTATTTCTTCCTGTGAGTAATATGCAACTTTGATACCTAAGAGATTATGTAGTTGGAAAACAAAGACCTGGGTAGTAGAATTAGTATTTCTTCAAGAATTACAGTAAATCTTTAAAAAACAAACAAACCAAAACATCCCCCCTTTAATTATCTGTTTAACAGTTTGGTGCTTTAGTTATGTCTTAGTATCAGTTTTCAAAAGTAGAATTTAACTTCCCTCTCCTTCCCTGGAGTTAGCATATTGTTACATGACATTACCATGATAATAGCAACTGATTTGTTAAATAAAATTCAAAACTAGTTTAGGTCTCAGGTGTTAAAAGGCATTAGATTTGTGGATCTTTCACTCTTCTGTAAAGTGGTGCTTTAGAGCTGTTTATGACAAATTTGTCCCGAGGTTAACCAATTTAATTTTGTACTTCTGGTTGTTGTCTTCTAGTTGTTAAATGTGTAATACTGTAGGAGCTTCAATAGCTCACTCTGTGAAGGGTGTATGAATTCCAGCATGGTATTAGCAGCAGAATGGCACAGGATATCTGCAGAGTAATTGTATCCAAACTTAAGCTTTCAATTTACACTTAAAAGTTAAGTGTCCTTACCCCCATTTCCTGTTGCAAGATGAGTCATGCTTGTACTACACACTTGCACTTGTGTTATGTATTTGAAAGTCTAGCTTACTTGTAGACAACACTTTTAAAAACATCAGGTGGAGGCTTTACCATTATGATAATGCCATTTTTTTAAATGATGGCATGGTAACTGGTTTAAGAAGAAACTGTTCTATAGTGTTGGTTCGCGTAACGTATATACACTATGGTAAACATAAAAATAAGCCATATATACCAGTAGGTTAGGATGGTTAACAGCTGTGTCTTTAGGTGACATGTTCCTAATGATATACCATCCAAAACATCCAAAATCCTCATGAAAACTTTCTCAGTGTTGTCATCTAATATGATTTGTGAAATATAAACCAACAAATTCTCATTTATCAACAGGATGCTTACAATACGTTTAGTAGCTCAGGGAGCTTTCCTGTTACGGGAATTTAGGTGTGTTTTTTCAAGAAGGCATTCTGTCAGACTTTCAGTTTATGGTGTCTGTGAATTTGGTCAGTGTCCTTTGTGTGTTTCTGTCCGTATCCTGGAGTATTGTCCTTGTGTTCATTCCTCCTACAAAGCTGTGTTTAGGAGTCATCCGTTATGTATATGCTGCTGTCCTAAACTTTTCTTGTCCATGAAAAGCCAGCTAGACACAATTACTATCCTCTCTTATAATGTATAAAACATAGCTCTCAGTTTATGTTGAAAAATTATGTACTCATACAATGTCCCTCATTGCAAAATAAATTTAACTTGCAGTGGCTAAATGGTTAGTTCAGTAATCACATCTTAAAGCAGTGTTCACCTTCAATGAATAATACTGTGATGTCCATTCGATAAAACCAGATGGAGTTATTGTTTATCAAGAATCCATTATCGAGCTTGCCATCTATCAACCATAGCAGAAAAAAAAACAGAACTCAGCAGTATTCTGAGAAACAGAAGATGGAAAAAAATCTAGATGTCCAGAAAATATTCTCAAGGTTTTAACAGGCAATTCTTTGTGCTGTCCATCGGTTTTCCCTAACATAGGTGGCTGAGAATTATGTACATTGGTTTTGTGAAGAAATTGCTAAGTAGTACATCATTTAGGACAAGCAAGTAAGATAAATTTGGGAAAATAAATACCTACTCTGTAGAAAAAATCTGAGAAATGGAGTCTAGATCAGGGATTAAGGTACAGAGGTCTTCTATTCCTGTGGGAGGGTGGGAGAGAGGAGTGTAATAATTAAGAAATCTGGTTATCTTCAGAAAGAATAACTAGTGTTTTAAAAGACAGATGCTTTCTATGCATTCTTTTGCTTTGGTCCTTTTTTCTAGTTTGCAGTATAGTCTCTCAAAGTATATGAGGAGGGCAAAGAAGGGAAAATGGAAACTAAGGCTGATAGACCATTAAATAAGCAAATAAACACCTTTTTCTTTTTCCTTTTTTTAATTCCTCTGCCAAAGCTTTGGATAATATTTTGTTGGAGCAAGTCCAGAGGAGGGCCATGGGGATGATAAGGGGGCTCAACTATGAAGAGAGGCTGAGAAAGTTGGGGCTGTTCAGCCTGGAGAAGAGAAGGCTGTGTGGAGACCTCAGAGCAGCCTTCCAGTATCTGAAGGGGGCCTATAAGGATGCTGGGGAGGGACTCTTCATTAGGGACTGTAGTAGTAGGACAATGGGTAATGGGTTTAAACTTAAACAGGGGAAGTTCAGGGTAGATATAAGGAAGAAGTTCTTTACTGTGAGGGTGGTGAGGCACTGGAATGGGTTGCCCAAAAAAGTGGTGAATGCTCCATCCCTGGCAGTGTTCAAGGCCAGGCTGGACAGAGCCTTCGGTGCAGTGGTTTAGTGTGTGGTGTCCCTGCCCATGGCAGGGGGGTTGGAACTAGATAATCTTAAGGTCCTTTCCAAAGTCCTAACCATTCTGTGATGCTAATATGCTTCAGCAACCATAAGTTACCAGATACAATTTGGGAGTAACTGGCTGAAATTTTTTATATAATGAGAGAAGTTGCGGAGATTTCTGACTTGACTAGCATATATCTTCACAGGGAAACTAGTTTGAACGTATTGTAAAGCAACTGTGACTTTGTGCACCTACAATAGGTTTGTAGACCACCAGCTGTATATATAAGGTTTACTGGTCTTGGAAGTTGTGCCAGTGGACAGATGTGTTAGGAAAAAATAGGTACATTAATCAGCTATTTAGAATAAGATAAAAATGAGTTGAGCATCAATACAGCTGGTTACTTTGTGATACCTGCTAGATTTCCATATACAAATAGTACAACTTGAATGTTCATAAGAGGTCTTCACAAAACTTAGCTGGTGATTGCTTTAAGTAAATATCAGTGTAGCTTTGATAATTTCAAAACGTCTTACCTTCTAGAGCTATGAAGACGAGAGGAGGACTCGGTCAGAGCTTGAGGTTAGATGCCAGCGTTTAACACTGGAACTGGCTGATACCAAACAAATGATTCAGCAAGGTGATTACAGACAAGAGAACTATGATAAAGTAAAATGGTAGGTATCTATAATTAAAATGTTCTACTTACATACAAATGTTAAGAGACAAACTTCAACCTTGATTGACTAGAGTTTTTAATTTGATTTTTTTGGCTTATGTACACCACAGGAAATTTTCCTTACCTCAATCCACTGCTGGTTCAGTTAGCTCCTGTAGTATATTTAGTGATAAGACGAACAACCTGTTGAAATCTGATGCACCAAATTATCTCCCTGAAAGTTAATATTTAGAGATTTACTGTATTTTCAGAAGAGCCTACCAGTCACTTTGCAACCAAAGAAATGGGAGCTGTTGATGCCAAGCAGCTTAGAACAAGTACTCTTTTTCTCTTGGAATAAAAGCAATGATTTAACAAAAGGGCCTGTGCTTTATGTTTGGTGACTACACAGCGAATTAAGAGTGCAGGACCTTGGGAATTAATATTTATAACTTCAGATAGCCTTGTAACCATGAATTTGAAAGAGCTGTATAAGAACTCTGTCAGAGCCTGTTACTGTAAAGTAACCCTCTGTCTTAGGGTTACTTCAGTGAGTTGGTTTAACTGCAGAAAGTTCCAGTGTCTCTTCATTTTTAAAATATGGATTTTACAGTTCTAGCCTATGCTTTGAATGTGCATCTTGTAAACAACTGCAAAAATGATGAAAATGACTTTCTATAAATACGCTCATAGATGTATACTTCACAGTCCAGCTCCCAAATGGCTTATTTAGTGTGCTTGCCAGTACACAAAATCTGGCCTTTGGCACATTTGTTGGGGAATGGATTCAAAAATGAAGATTATGAATAGAAAACACCCTGTCAACTCCTTAGTAGTTCACACTGAATGAACTCGGGCATAGTTACTGATGCAAATGACTTTGCCACTAAATCATTTGAAGGAGAGTCTTTATTCTGGATAACTGTTCACAGATACGTGTACTAAAACAACCTTGGAATCTGCCTGGAAGCTTTTTGCAAATAGGATGTATTGATGCTATGGTTTGCTTCCCATGTGCAACTGCATCTTAATAAGTGAATTGTAATAATGTTCATATGAATGGCCCCAGTGTTTAAGAGTGTACATTTAAAATAGTCTTGAGTTGAAAAAAGGTATGAATGAATGTGCCAAAACTATATTTGAGAGAGTAGCTTGTATTCATCTGGGTAGGCACAGACGAAGGGGAGGGGAGAGCCCTGTTGGCATGACTGCATGAGGATATTTGGGAGTGTTGCAGGAGTTAATCACTTCCAGGCTTGTTTCTGTCTTTAAAAGTGCCATGTCAAATCTTCTAGTTCTGGTGTACTACAAGTTTTCTCAGTTTTAAAACTATGCTATGCTTAATATAAAACTTTTTAGCTTTTTTCCAAACTGCAAGCTCATACTGGCTCATTCATTTCACTGTTCTGACAGGGTCAGATAGAGTGGAGACAGAGCTGCTTCTTTGTGCATATGGAAAGCACTCTTATTCAGGAAACCAACATAATTTTTGCAGCTGTGTCATGTATATTTTAAATACGAAAAGAGTAGTACAACCTTCTCTGGTATCAAGAGACTGTATGTAAGGGAGAGTAGCAACTAAGAACAAGTATACACTGTTTTCTATTTGATTAGGAAGATAGGAAGGAAGTAGATTTACTTTTTCATCAGACTTTGATGGCTGCAAAAGATTCAAGAGAATGGTGTGGGAAATATCATCAAGCTAAAAGGATGGACAAGGGTACTTACAGTTCATTGCTAAGAGGAGAAATGTATAGCCCAAAGTTACGCTGAAGAATACTAATCAGAGAAGAATGAAATAACTTATGATAGGAATTCATGATTATTGTGTTATAATTTAGGATTATTTTTTAAATACTTAGAAATGAAGAAAATTCTTTAATGTAATAAGGTACTGTTGCAGGTGTTAATAACTAGCAAATGTAAGATTATCACTAGTTGCTGTGTGAGTGACTGGTTGGGAGAAGTCACTATCATGAACTGAAAGGCTGAGGGATTGCAAATGCACAGGAATCTTGTTTGTTACACTTTATTCATCTAATAGTTTCACTTTTTATTAACAGTGAACGTGATGCATTTGAACATGAATTGTCAGAACTCAGAAGAAAATATGATATATTAGAGGTGTCACACAAAGCACAAGCTAAAGAAAGAAATGACTTATCAAAAGAGGTAAGTTCTTATTTCAATAATTGTCTATTTCTTCACCTCAGGAATTTGATGCTTTGTCTAATCAAGTCTGCCAGAGTCACCTATAGGATCATGGAATAATTTAGATTAGAATGGTTCTAAGGAGACCAGCTGATCCAACCCTCCCATGCAGTGCAGAGCCAGCTTAGGTCAGGTTACTTAGGGCTTTGTCAGGTTTTGAATACCTCCAAGGATGGAGATTCCACAGCCTTTCTGGACAATCTGTTCCAGTGTTTATCCACCCGCTTTGTGAAAATGTTTTTCTAAAATCTAATCAGTGTTGTTGCAGGTTTTTTCTCTTGCCTCTTGTCCTGTCACTATGCGCTTCCAAAAGCCTGGCTCTTTCTATGCATTCCAATTAGATAGGTGAAGATAACAAGATTTTTCTCCAGCCAGATTTGATTTCTGAAGGCTGAAAAAACTCATTTCTCTCAAACCCTTGTACATCATGTGCTGCAGTCCATGACCATCTTGGCAGAGCAAGTCTGGTTTTGCTCCAGTATGTTAATGTATGTCTTTAAGAGGAATTCAGAATGGGACATGGCACACCAAGTACAGTTTCACAAGTATTGAACACAGGATAATAATAATTTTCTTGAAACTATTTTCTTCATTGTTGCTAATATAGCCTAGTAGGCACTTGGCCACCTTTGCTGTCAGGGCACACTTCTGGCTCGTGTTTAGTTTGTTCAACTGCTGTTTGCCTATCCAGTACATATTTTGCCCATTTTCCCATAGAGGTGTTACGGGAGATGGCTGAAAGCCATGCAAAAGTTTAAGTAAGTGACATGAACAGCTGTCCCCCCATCCATAGAGCCAACTTACTTGTGAGGTTTGCTAGGCACAGTTTGCCTTGGTAAATCCATGCTAGTTGTTTTCAGTCACCTTATCCTCCAGTATGCATGGATATTGCTAGCAGGAGGGTTTGTTTCCTCCTGCAATCCAACCTTTGCAGGGACTGAGGTTAGATTCACGAACCCACAGTTCCCTGGGTCTTCCTTCTTGAAGGTGGATTCTAGTCATCAGAAGCCCTGCTCACTTGCTATGATCTTTCAAACAGCTGGCCAAGCTCACAACAGCATTGGCTATCTCCCTCAACATTGGTCAAGTGCTTTTCTTTTTTCCTTAGGCATTATGCACATGCCATTTTTCTTTGTTTGCTTCAGCCTGATGAAATCTGGCAATAAGTTCCAGAACCTGGGAGGCCCAAGGGCAAAATTTACCAGTGAAGGCTGAATGCTTGTGAGTATGTTCTATCCCTCAAAAGGTGCAGAACTAATTAATTTGCTTTAGCTCTTTCTGATCAATAGTGACAGCAAGGCAGAGCTACTGTATGGCTTATGTTTTGTTGTGCATGATTTTTTCTAGACATCAATAGAATCATAGAATGGTTTGGGTTGGA